TTTTTTTTTTTTTTTTTTTTTTTTTTTTTTTTTTTTCAGCACCCAAGCTGCTAACACCCGGTGCGGGCTGGAGATAGTGAACATGGTTTTCTTTTCCCATTGGCAGTGCTTTTTTTCTGCAACGTTGAAAGATTGAAAAGTGATCACGTGGTAGAGAAGGCAATGGAAATGTGCTGGGAAGCTGGAGGTTGCATGGACTGCCGGCGTACTGGATGTTGATTGCCACTGCTTTCGTCTTCCTTTTCCTCAAAATATAAATATAAATAAATCTTAGATACAGGGTCATAGGAAGAACATAATATGCAATATGATTTTATGATGTCACAGGTATCTGGATTTCGTAAATCCTTCTCCTGCGTCTGTCACCTTCAAATTGGATCGGAAAGAGAATGTGTGTGTAGAGTACTTAGAAATGAAAGTTCCGCTTTGTTCCATGAATTCAGGATTCCTGAACTTATTTTCGCCTTATTGCAATCAGAGGGATAGGGGGAGAGAACAACTTTCTGCATGGTGACGGCGACTCTGTCCGTAGTTTGGAGCCAAAGATATAAGAAAAGGGAGAGAATGCGTGTGTGGTTGTTGATTGCAGGTTTTGATTGTCTCCACTCTGTTCCGTCATATGTTCTTTTTTTTTTTTTCTTTTTTTTTTTTGCACAGTTAATTAATCTTCTCTGTATTGTTCCAATTTTAATGGATGTCCTGAAGGACTCCCTCATTACGTTCTAATTTAATTCCTTGCCTGTCTTTTTGTGTTGTCTTCTGCTGTGGCTTGCCTTGCAATCTCTTCAGATGGACCTGATTCTCTCCACTCTGTTCCCTCACTATGTTCTGTTTTTTTGTTTTTTTGTTTTTTGTTTTTTGCACAGGGTCCAAGCTAATCTTCTCTGTATTGTTCCAATTGTAACGGATGTCTGGAAGTTCTAATTTAATTCCTTACCTGTCTTTTTGTGTTCTCTTCTGCTGTGGCTTGCCTTGCAATCTCTCTTCAGATGGACCGTATGCCATCCGCCATCCCAGCGAAACAGTCCTTATACCTCAGGTGAACTTGAGCAAAGAACCTACACCTCTCAGCGGATTACGGCCACCCAAAATTTTCCCATGCGGTCACAAGAGGAAAATGCGGACATTGGTTTTCAATCCGGCAGATCCAGAACAGATGCTTACCAGGTGCATTGACTATCCATCACATAAAAAGCTGTGCTCTCTCCCCTTTCCATCTTCTCCTCGCCCCTTCATTTCATGTCACCTATGCTCGGAAAACCTTTGTGTTGGAGAACAGTCCCCGCTAGAGAGTGGTGGTCCCGCACTCCCAATTTGGAACCCACTCACTTTGTGTGTGCCTGTTTATGCTTTCTTCCGTTCCTGTGTGATTTCTCTGAAATTCTGAATACAGTGAATAGTCAAAAAACTTGAAAAAAGAAGTTTTTCGTAATTACGTGTATGTTCTTGCAGTGAACTCAGTAACCTCACTTGGAATTTGTGAGAAAAGCTTTCACCCACTGGATGGCAGTGGCGCTAAACATAGCGGTGGATGGAAACCAACAGAACTTGTAAGTTATACAATTATTAATCAATGTAATGAACTGAACGTATCACAGAGTCAACAATATGACTTGAACGATCACTGCCTATTCTCATCTCATGTTTTGATGCTAAACACATGGACAGCCGTTTGAGAGTTTGTTCAGCAAGGAGGATTCTTCTCTTTTTTTGGCCAACGCTGATAATATAGCAGCATAACAATACAATTGAATGATAAATATGCTTTGTCCTCTCCTCATGCAGCGTTCAGATGACCAGTTCTCTTCTCTGCATATAATCCCCTTGAACCACTGCTCCCCCGGACCTAGTTTGACGAACAAAGATTGCATTTCCCCGAGCCTAAAGTCGACAGTCCCGTTGTGACCATGGTTGCATCCCTGCCGACCGCCGACTCCGACCGCCGACCGTATTGCAGCCGACCAGTAGGGCCGACCAGTCGGCGGTCTGCCGACCAGTCAGAAAACAACCATCCACTCATTTTTTTTCAGATCTGAGTTGGAAGCTGTACTGCGCTTGCTGAGTACAGCCCAAATCCGCTGAGAAACTTTTGGGGATGGGGGGGTTGGGGGTG